AAAGTGTAGAATTTCCGGCATTTTTCAGTCGAAAGAGCGGATCTCAAGTGGCCTACAACGCGACGACGGCTGAAGAGGTGTCTCGTCTTATATTAGCTCGAAATGAGTTGGGATTAAAGTGTGGGATTGTTGTGGCCGTTCCCGTCCCTCAAGAATATCAATCAAACGGAGACTCCGTTGATAGAGCTATCAGTGAAGCCTTACATGAAGTGAAGTAATAAAAGGTTTTGTTTACGAAAACAAATTTCTATAAAATGGGAAATTGATTTGACAGACAAAAGGGTATTATCGGGAAAGACGTGACGCCTTATTTGCTGGAAAGGGTGAACCAATTAAGTGGTGGCCTATCGTTGAAGGCAAACATAGCGCTCATTGAAAATAACGCCCGAATTGGCGCTGAAATAGCCGTTCAATACCAGAAACTAATAAATGAATCGAAACTAACAAATCAATTGATTAAGACGTCTAACAATACGATTGATTCAAAGCGGATAAACACTTGTAATAATAAAAGCTATAATTCTTACGAGTCATCAAAGCCTATGACAGAATCGATGCCAGAATCGGGACAACAAAAGGACGGCCTAAAAGAGCGCCTAAACTACAATCAATCAGATGAGTCGAGTCCTGTATGTTATTTACATTCAGTCATCCGTTGTATTGATTCTCAAACCGATTCTTTGTTTTATTCTCGAAAACTGTTTGCGATGTTTAGGTAGTGATCGGCGGATCGATATATGACATCGTGGCTGACGCTAACACCGACTCATTACGTGTGAGTTAATCGATAAGTGCTTTAAGAAACACTACTTTTTATTTGCTTTTTATTTAATTACAATTAATAAAGTGTGGCATAGCTTTAGACACACTGTTAGCTCACAATCGGTTTTTGATTGCACTTTAATTGCATTTGTCTTAAGAGAATTGATTTCAAATTATTTCCTATTGTTTAAGACATAAAATGAATACAAAGTACCAGTATACAATTCCCTAATACTTTACACTCAATTCCATCTACAAAATAATTGCACATTTAGTTTGAATGGCTATGTTCTCCAATTTATACTTATTATTAGGTTTATTCAAATAATTTTCTTAATGCACTCAATATGTTTAATTCAATAGCACGAGCATTATTAATGATTTTCTATATTTATAGATTAAATTCTCTTAAAATTTAATCAATTCTTTCTATTATTAATCCTATAGTCGAAGACAAGGAATGCGAATAATATTCTGAAATCTGATAAATACTTCTTAAACAAAGAATAGAATAATATTAATATATAAGGAATCTATTCAAATGTCAAACCAGTTTATCTTATTATAAGGCTTTTTTCACTTCACAATAAAGCACTGGTAGTCAAAGATTTATTCTACAAAATTTAATATTCCGGTTCATAAAGGCACAGGCTTTACAAGGATTTAATTAAAAATTTACTATAATATATCATTATTAAAGTTTTTTTCCACTAAAAGTCAAATATGCAATATTCTCAAATAATTATTTATTTATAGAAACAAAAAACTTTTTTCTAAAAATAACTTCAATAATGACTTCAATAATTCAACTCATTGTGAATGTACCAGAAGTTAACTAAATGTGAAAAGACATTGGATTTTAATCTAAAAAGGAGTATAGACAAAATCGACAAAAAAATCTTTAAGCCTATAAAATCTCTACAAATCTTATTCAAAGGATTTGATTACAGAAAAATGAATTGAAAGACATATAACGGTTGAGTTGATTACTGGCCATAACTTCAATAAGAATAGAGTGTTCTCTCTATAAATAAAATATTATTTTGACGAACAGTTAGACCGGAATATACTCATGAGATTACAGTTAGGGTTCGGTTTGCGTTTGGATGTGATTTCCATTAATGTAAACGAATCGAAATAACAGTCAATCTCTGACTACATTGCTATTCAATATACGGTATAAGTACTGCTTGCTTATTGAATTAGTGAACAGTTATCCCTTCAATATATTATTATACAATACTTCTTACTTAAGGACATCGCTGTCTAAATATAACCACTTTTGGTATATTAAAAGATTGAATGATTGTTTAAAAGTTTAATGTCATATATCAGCCAAACTTGTGACTTATTTTATTTTTGCTATTTTTAAAACTGCTTGAGATTATAGTGACACTACTATATTGCCTAAATTATTAAAAAGTTATAGATTCTTGGTCTAAATCCTAAACTGAATGTTTAGCCAAAATGTGGGCCAAACTAAGTGTTTTTTATAGAGCATAAGAATTGGCGAAAACACGGCATACGATACACTACTTATCGCACTCTTATCCACGAATTACTGCAATGACTCTAATCTTAATGTTAGGGTTTGTGTTGTTGTTTCTCATGATTTTTACTTTTTAATGTTATAATAAATGCTTTATGGATGCAATTAATGCTTTATATCGTTGTTTACTCAGCTCTTAAAATAAACTTTTATGACAATCGATAGATAATAATAATAATAATAATAATAATATTAAAGGCTATAATTTATTGTTATTCTCGTCACTCTTTTCTCATTAAGTGTTTGCAAAACTGACTAAAAACCCAAATCCAAAGCCAACAAAATATATTTCAATATTTATGTCATAAATTAAACTGTTCTCTGCTTTTTCGACAGTAAAATACATTTGTATTCATTTGCGAATTCGCGAAATACACTGAAAACCTTATGCTAACAATAAATTAATCTAAAAAATATTAAATAAACATTTGAATATATTGTATAAAACAATAGATCCTTTTTATTTCCATACACTCTGGAGACTCGTGTGTTCATTACGACACTGTTATATGAATGACATTTAAATCTTTGGTTAAAA